TAAAAGAATAATGTTATGATCAGACTCCAGCTTATCGCACTTTTTCTAAAGTTAAAAAAAGGAAAGCCTCATTAGGCATTAAACGAACCCTCCACGCCAGTCGTTTAGCCCTTGTGTTCAAGGCACAGAGACAATGACAATGTTCTCTTTTTGTCCATAAAGTCTTAACCAAGGAGCACTGTGGCTATGCTATTAAGGTTCCTTTACAAAGAATATTAAGTAGCCAAGTTAACCCCTTAAGTGTATGAAATATTATGGTGGGATACGCTATAAATGCCATTCTTTTATCTGTTGACATTTTCGCACACCTACATGACTACCAGCACAGTTTTAAGCATTTTATTAATGAGTGGCCGTACTCAAGCCAAATTTTTCCTCTTAGCTAAGTAAATCGGAGTTCGCGTTTTTACTACTTTTCGCACAGATAAGTAGAATTGCCACTGAAACGTAGGACACTTAATTTGTCTTAATAATAGCCTCAATTTTTACTTGTAAAAAAAGTAAGGAAGTCAAAATTAGCACTATATGTTTCTACTAACTACAGTTTTAAGCAGTGAATTACTAAAATGTGCAAAATTCTCCTTGGCTCATCCATTGTTTGGACTGTGCTAGAAAATCTTGTCGATTTTATACCTTTTATGCCGAGTTGATTGTCACGGAAATGGCAGTATATGTTTGTCAACTCCGGATACACTGTTAGATATTTTTAGGAGAATAAATAAAAGCCTTCTACCCAACCGTACAAACATTGTTCTCTAAAATTTCGGGCGTCACCCTGCCTTCCCCACACCCCTCCGCTGATGTCGAGGCTGAAAAGTGGCACTGATGTAAACACCTCTAATGGGTTAGTCGCTGAGAGCAGGACGCGGTGAAATTGCATTTCTCGATTAGCGGTAGCACCTAAAGCATTCACGTTAGCTTTATAATGACGCTTCAAGTTGTGCTGACAACGTTTTGCTCAGTGACTTACGTGCTTCCAGCTTGTCTTACTTAAAAAAGGATGTACAGGATGTCAACATTTAAGCCGTTTTACGGTAGCGCAGAGAATATAGAAGGAAATTTGCAGTTGACGATGGCATTCTGAGCAAAGCTGGCAATCTTTAGGAGTTATTTGATGCTGACTGTGCAGAGCAACAGTGAATAAATGGATTATTAAGCTCAGAATGGCATTTGTCGTCTGGTTCTAAATACTTAACTTGGTGAGCCCTAAGGGTTAGAGCAGTGGCATCTAGGTGAGGCCAAGCGTTAAGAGGAGGAGAAATAAAAGTACAGCGCATCCTGATGTGTGTCTTTGTTTGCAGGCGACTACCGTCGTTCTGGTGGATACGGTCATCATCAAGGTAACGGTCACTACTACTCTTCCTTCTACGGTTCAGATTCCCACAGCGGCGGTCACGATAGCAGCGGGGGCGGCTACGGGGGCAACTACCATCATCACCACCACCACTCCGGCTCGGGCGGCACCGGTGGCCACATAGGGAGCGGCGGTGGAGGAGGCGGTCACGGGGCAATGGACGCCACCTTCGTCTGGAAGCTAAGCAAACTCGGACGCATAAGCTCCTCCCGACTGCGGTTTGACGATGACTTTGCGGACCGACTCAACTATCAGTTCTCCGGTGTCCTCATGTTCCTATTCATTGGTGTTATCGGCATCAGACAATACGTTGGTACGTCTCAACAGATCCTCACTTCCGACAGCAGTATGTCTTACTAGTAGGTGATGCTGATTTTATAGTTCTGATTACAAGTGACTGAGCGCAATAGAATACAATAAATTAAAGCGAGAGCAGAGTATCCTGACAAGTAGATCGCAAAAATCAGGCCTACAAGTACCTAAAAGGGGGTTCAGCTGAGATTAGATGATGCGTAAAGATTTACAAGGAGATTTGAAAAATGTAAACTAATCAACGACAACTGCAAGACTGCCAGTAAAAATATCTACGCTGGTGATGCTATTTTTTATTATAAGTCACCCAATTTTGAAAGCTTGGAGGAAATTATTCAGCAGACAAATATAATCACCAACCAGTACTTTGAATAATGAAGGTTTGGGCTCAAAGGTAAATGCTTAGCTTTAACATAGCTGCTAACATGCTAATGGTTGTTTGGAAAGGAGGGTAGTTTCCAAGTGTTGATTGACCTACATACGCAGTCCCTTAGAGGGAAGACAATGCAGCGCATTGTAGATGCTTTCTTCTGCATAAAAACATAATTGCTCCTTGGTGAGCAATAGTAGTCGTAAGGCTCCTCCGAACTTCCACCATAAACTAGCTCTAACGTTCTTCTTGTTTGAGAAACTTTCGAACCACTAAAAGTGTCGATTAGTGGGGGCTAACAAACAACATAACCGTCATCTCTGGCTCATTTGCATGGTGATCGTGCAAAAGTGAACAAACAAATTTAGCTAAAAGTATTCTTAGTTTGGTCCCAGAATACACTTGTTTTTTTAGGATTTAAGGTAGCTCTAATCCCACCTTATTGAAACAGTTGCTTCAACAGCACTTGTGTGACCATCTGAACCATTTAAAGTGGAATCCTGAAACGTCACTGGTTGTCAACGTCTGACTTCAGTCTTTCTGATAACTTTTATTATCTACTGTTAAGATCAAAGTGTGAAGATATTTCAAATAATATATTAAGTAATGAGATACAAAACACTAAATCATCACCATTGGAGCAAATTAAGAATTCCAAAGTTTTACCCTTTTAGCGTAAATACGTTTTACAAATGGAGTTGTAGACGGTGAGAGTGCGTTTGTATTAAGCTTCTTAATGCAAAAGGCGGTAGCAATTAAATAGATGCTTAGCACTACCGGTTTGCGGGTGGAGGAAGTAGCCAGCCATCACATAAATAAGGTAAACGTCGGTTACCACCTCAACACACGGATCGAGAGAGCGGAGGGAGTGACGAGACCACACACGTAGTGTTGCATCTCTTCTTTTGCTTCCTAAGCCACTCACATCAGCAACGTTAGCGCTGACACATTCGCTGTCACTGTCACCAGCGTCTACAGTACGTGCACATCACTTGTAGTAGAGCTTAGTTTTCTAGAAGCCTTTGACTTCCGTTCCTCGCGAAAGATCAACGCAAGAGTGTGATGGCAGTCTGCCTTGATGCCATAAAAAGTAATATTAGTGCTATGAAGACAATATGATGGAGAATTCAGCATTTACTGGTAATATGTAGCTATACAATCGCTGTAATTTATGCATCTCTACCAAACTCAATCATACCTATTACAGAATCCCAAGGGATCTCCTCATAAGTGGTCACATAAATTTTGTTCCTGTACTCTTCACTCCACTCATAATGCATGGTCATTAATATTGAATGTAATCAACACTGTGGCGGCGTTCTATCAACTAACTCAAGAGGTTTTATCTTCTCACCCTTTGAATCATTTTGAATGGGCGGGAAATGCGAAACTCCGGAGACAGACACAATTGCGTGATTTGCCATAGTAGTGGCACATCTTTAAAACATAAATCGCCAAAAATCAGCTGCATGTTTGCAAGCCATTTAGATTATCGTCTCACTGCTAGAAATACCCGAAATTCGAGGACTTTATTCACTTTTATTTACTGTGATGTAACACTTTGGGAGTTGCGTAATCCTACACCTTTCTGTAGTTCGAGTTTAACAGGCATCGTCTGCTATTTTACGAGTGCATTACAGATATGAGAATGCGATAGGCTGTAAGTACAATGGTAAAAATGGCATGAACTTTTGGAGTTGAATTTCAAGCAGAGCTCGGTCGAGTGCAAATTGGTGTAGGCATATGCTTTTATTGTTAGCTACCCATGGGTAAAAGCAGCTCAAAATTGCCCTTCCTATGACCTTCATATGTCGAATGATAGCTCCGGGTCTACCACTGACTGGAGGGATTGTATACTACAGCGTGTGAGCCACAACCTGTGCAATTTACTGACTTACCTGACACTGACCTTAAGGTGTAAAGTTGAAAAGCCGTGTACAATCTTACCACAACCGCAACATACCTGCTA